ATTTAGCTCCTTGTTCTCAAATGACAATTCCTTGGGACTGTTTTTGCTCTTCTTGCTTTGTTCTAAGCATTATATTTTGTGTAGTATGGTGGCCACATATGAACACTATTTTAAACATGCTATAATCATGAGATTTCAATTTTTTTCCATTACTTTTTTACATTTCTTTGATGAGGATATAGAAGAATCTACATAAACATACAGTAAAGGCCCATTCAGTTCTCATAAAAATTTAACTATGCAATAAAATAATTCACAGTAAATAATTATAAAAATGTGAATCATCAGTAAGAAAAGCTATCATGGTCACTACACTTAAGTTCCTGCCAAATAAATCCTAACAATCATCCCTCTATCAATGTCACTGAGGTCTCCTCTAGCATTTCCTCTAACAGGCATGCAAGCTGGTGACATCCAGTCCAGCAACCAGTCCAGTTCAGCAAAAGGCACAGGTGTGATTTTATTCTAATTACCACATTTTGCTGTTATTATTGACCTTGAAAATCACACAAAAAAGGCTTATAGTAATTGACACAGTTAATAGTTTTGTGTCCATTTTAAGTGATACCTGTTGGTGTCCAACATTTTAGAGGACAAAACAGTAAATATTAAAATTGCTTCAATAGAGAAAATGGGGAGTACACCACTGTTATCTTTAAGTCTTAATATGTAATGGATTTATATAACTGTATTATATTTGTATTTAAAAATATGTTTTTGCACTGTGCATACAATTTGTGTCATTTGCAAAAAAATTTTTTTTTTAACTTTACACTGTTGCAATAAATGCATATGTATTGCTTTCAGGAAGTATTCAGTATTAGACCCACTTGGTATAAACAAAGCCCTTACAATACTGAAGAGAAGAAGATATCCATCTTAATAATCACAAAAAATGAATATTTCCATCAATATGTTATAATGGTAAAAATTACAGTGTTCTCAGGTCTGTTAATACATCTACCCTAAGCTTTATTAGGGATCCCCATCAGACAAACATATATTTATGTAAATATGCATGTTGTTTTACAAATACACATTAAAAAAAGAAAACTATATTTTTAACAATAATACTATGATTTATTTGTCTTAGCCCTAAATAAACCTGCAGTCTAAAAACATTACCACAGCAATATTAGAGGGGAACTGCAATTCCTAATATATAAATAAATGCATTGATGTCCTAGAAAAATTTTACAAATTGCAAATTAAGCACAAAGTCATGCACTTTGTGAACACACTGTAATTCACCATGTTATCACAAACCCCTGGTCTGACCATGAACGAGAATGAGTTTGCAAGAATTGTGATGCAATGCGGCCCTTCCTGCTCACCAGTCACTGTCATGACTAACGTAATTCGATGTACGAGCAAATAAGTACAAGTTGTGCAGCAGACATTTCACCGCAGAAATGTTCCAATGTGATCTGCATGGAAAGTTAACAAGTAAGTAGTATTTGTTGGCAAACCCATCTTGAAGACAAGAGCAATATCTCTTGGATTAAAAGAGAAGTACTCACAAGCCTGCTTATTTACAATATTATAGGGCCTCATCACATCACCAGAAGTTTTGTTGCCTCGTTTTGGATTACAAAATATGGCACTGCGCACACCTGGAAATTTCATTTATTTTGTGATGAAAATTGGAGGTTTTAGAGGTTACTGTGTACATTTTAATTTTATTGTGGTTTAAAATGCACTTACCAATGCTGATTCTTTCTAACCATGAAATATAAAATAGCATTTCAGTTCCCATTTAAGTTAGTAATAATATAAAGTAACTAAAAGAGTTGTCATTTAATACTTTTCCAAAAATGCACTGAAGTGTTTTTAATAAAATAGCAGGTGTCTCACTTGATTGCAACTTAGATTGCAACTTAACTTAGAATACAAATCAGATGCTAACCCACATTCAGGCACACATTACTAAGTTGTAAAATGTGTTTTGGATGCATACAAATATTTTATATATATGAACAATTTAAAAATAAAACTACTGGTGTTGAAGTATAATAATAATTTAAGTATAATAATTCTGTTCTTTTCAACAGACTTGGTTACAAAAAAAAAACAAGAGATTTCATATTTCCCTTAAAAGCTTATGGCACATCATAAATCAACTGGCTGGCTGCTTGCTGGCTGCTATCTAGGTAAGGTCAGGGAAGCAGTATTTTCATTTTTTTAGAACCACTGCATGTCCATTCCCATTGCATGCTCCTTTCTTGTAGCCTGATCTCCAGTGACCTTTAACATAATTAACACTTTGATGACACCACTCAAAAAAATGATCAATATTGTTTTTCAGATCATTGAGGTGTTTGTTGTTTCTACTTGAAACCTAAAAAATCTATTTTACTCTTATCACTATTAATACAAAGAGACTTCTAATCTGATCATATAGAAAGCAATCACATGCATCTAAAGTACATCAATTAAAATAAAAATCACCATCACTAACATGGTGTTATTCTGAAGCTGCTTTTCAGTGAATAAACTGCCAGTTGCTTTTAAATGCCCCATGGCGAATAATGTATAAGAGTAATTTGCTTTAAATTATGTTATTCCAAATTATTCTGCAGTATGTCCAAAATTCAGCAGCCAGAATCCTGACCAGATCTAGTGCAAGTGTTCACATTACTCCTATCCTGGAGTCCTTGCACTGGCTTCCGGTCAAATTCCGCGTAGACTTTAAAATCCTCATGCTCACCTACAAGGCTTTACATGGCTTGGCACCTCAATACCTGTCTGAACTTTTATCGCCCTACTCCCCACCTCGCAACCTCCGCTCTTCAAATTCTGCCCTCCTTACTGTCCCCCAAGCCCGTCTACATTGTATGGGCGACAGGGCCTTCTCCTGCTATGCCCCCAAGCTCTGGAACTCCTTGCCCAAGGATATTAGAGAGTCACCTTCTCTAAACTCCTTCAAATCCAGACTCAAAACCCTCCTTTTCAGAAAAGCCTTTACTTAACTGGTTCCATTCTTCACCCCTCTGCTCTTCTTAATACCATCTTCCACGGCCTCCTCTATTGTTATTGTTGTATTGCTGTAATTATAATTGTGTCCTGTCTTGTGAAATTTTTCTTATTTATTGTTGTAGTCTTCTTATTTATTGTTATTGTCATCCTGTAAAGTGCTTTGAGAAGCCACCTTTAAAGGCGCTATATAAAATAAAGTTTATTATTATTATTATTATTATTATTCTACTGTGTATTTAACAGTAATATGACATCATTACCGATTAGTATTTATTTAATTACTGTACGTATTACATTTCAAATATTTTTTTAAAAATCGTTAAATCTTCCTGAAGTGAAAACGGTTTTTTAAAGCATCCGTCTGGCTTTCAAACATTAACATGAATTACGTGCATAAGAGTAATAAATATATTTCGAGGGGTTCCCCGAGTTCGCTAGAAAAAAAGCAAAGGTCTCGGGACACCACAGCTGATCGAATGTTATTGGCTCGAGCTCATCTACAGAAAATACATGCGTATTCTTAGGGAACAATAAATGCACATTTCTACATTATTCTATACTTTATTCATATGTCACGATACGCGCTCAAACAATCCCTTGCTCTGTCACACACACATACGTGTACATGCAGTACACAGACCCCTAGACGCAGCCGTTCACACTTTGTCAACTGCTGTTTGTCATCTGTCTGAAGGAAATGTCAATGTAATGCTGATGAACCAAGGACCGATATCGCAAGTCTGTGACTAATTCCGAACGTCGCTGATACAGCTCATCACCCTAAACCTGCAGGAATGTTTTTCGGGGAAACCCTCTTCCTATAACAGCCTATGTGAAAGCGTCGTACAGTACTCGCGCTTGTGGAAACCAGGCACTGCGCTCTCACAGAAGCTCGGTTTCAGCACCACAAGCTAAAGACAGCGTCTACAGAAATCCAAAAGGGAGGAGGGGAAGGGGTTTCCCTGGAAAATTTTCGATTCTTACCAAGCTAACAGCAACCCCCTCCATCTAATTCAATCGCGCGATGTAAAATCTCACATGATCGTCATATACAAGAACAGATACTTAACACACTCTAATGCAATTTATCGCGTAAAATTCGGTTATTCGGAGTATCAGACCGGCGTAGATTATTTCTACTTTACACAGGATCGATACCTATTCCTAAACCCAGATTAACATTTGACTCAAGAATAACTTTATTCAGCAGGCAACTGCATTTCGAAACCAAAACCTGAAGGCATTTTACTCGCTTTGTTATTATCAAAATTATTATCAGCTGAATGCACTGTCCGTGCTTCTGGATATAATTACTGTACATTGTTTTTTTTTTTTAAATCAACAACGAATAATGATGCGGCTGCTAAACAACGTCATTCGGAACATCAATGACTGCATTTTGTCAGTTTTAAGATGACAGGAACCATAAATAACCCACCCAAATAAATAACGTACACATCCCTGGGGTTATTTCAATTCACAACATCCAAAATATCAGCAACAACAGAAAACAGTAAATAGGTTAATATGCATACACCCCACAGTAACAGGAGAAAAACACATAATTGCAATCATACTTTCGGGGAATATAGTATCTATACGTTAATTTTAAAATACAGCAATTTATATTGATATTCGCTATTTGCTAGCATGGTTGTTACGTTTCATTCAAATTTTGAGTAGATGACAAGCTCTTAACACGGCATATGAATAATTCATAAGCCGAAATGTTTCTGACACCACGTATACTAGCGCTGTGTTACCAATGCATATGTATTTTTTGTTATTAGAGCTACAGATTTTAACACTGGTAACGTCTCGGCCCAGCTCTTGAAATGACAGAGGGCTTTAAATCACCGCCGACTGCAAGCAGGCAAGTGGAGCAATACAGGCAGAAACCCTGCAGAAATTAAATCATAAAAACAGGCAACGCACGGATAGGGGTGAAATAGACAAAAGATACAAATTAATCCCTGCAGGATACCGCGGCTAAACATAAAGGAAAGACCCGCTTTAGCATTTACCTGTGAGGACTCCAACTCGGATTTGGTGGTCGTGGTTTGTTAAAATCATCCCTTCCGACGCCATGTTTACCAGCACTGTCACCGCACTGAGAACCTGGCAGAGCCGAGCTAAGAGCTCCTCGAACTCGCGGGAGGGTGAAAAAGAAAGGAGAACAGGCGAGAGCAACCGATCAACGAGTAAGCTTTCCTGTACTTGGAAACTGAAATCCCAAACCTCCAAAGAAGGAGTAGCGGTTATCTAATACTGGGGCAGTGGTGACTGGCAGCATTTGTTTAATGTCATTCACATATTAGCAGGTCCTCAGCTATTTACAACAAATATTAAAAAATATGCAAATAAACAGCTTTTTTCGGTCACCAACATGTTACAGAGACTACACCGAACTACATTTCTGAGGATATAAATTAGCCATTATTGTTATAACATTGGACATTTCAACAAAAGAAAACAAGAATGGTGTGTTTCTATTTTAAGAATGGTGTGTTTCTATTTTACATTGACACTTTTGTTTAAAAAATAGCACCCCGTCGCATGCTCCTGTCTTTTTAATATATGCAAATATTTAGTTTATGGACAAAAGCGTGGGGAATGCACGAGAGCTATTATAATGAATAATGTACAACAAACAATTGTTTGCTTGATGTTTATGTGGTGGTTGTTGTGAGAATGATCATCACCGGAGTTTTCATTTGCTTTTATAGTTGACATTCATTTTGGAATGGTATTGCATAGAATGAAGATTACATTTTCTCTAATCTTTCAATACACTGTCTTTAATAAAACGTCTTTAAATAGTACATATTGAAATTACTTTTTTGATTTTTTTATCCAGTAAAATACTTTTGCCAGTGTGTATGGTGTATGTGTGCATAACAAATATATAATGTGCATTGCAGAAGAACGTGTTGCTTTACGTGTATGTGTATTTATTAGAGTTGTATGTTTATTTATTAGATTTATTCAATTCATTAGAAATTATTTTTTAGATTATCAGTTCATAGTCTAATAAATACTGGATTTAATACACAATGTTAGTTCTTCTATGTATAATGTCTAAAATGTTGTAATTCTAATTTCCATTGAATTATCTGCAATATACAGCTGTATTTGTTTATAAACTTTACACAATTGTCCTGGACATGTTCCATTATTTTGCTGTTTTTACTCAGTGTTTTTCCTTCTTTGTGCATAAATAAAACCTTATGGCAATCTTAAGATAGGCCATTGGGACAGTCTAGTCTTTTTGATAGTATTTAATTGATCTGAGAAATTCAGCCAACTATTTCTTGAAAAACATCAGGTTATCAGCTCCAGCATGAATACTTAAATGCTGTCACCCATCCGATGGTTGCCTTATGGTTATCAATGTCTTTCGAGGCTAAAATAGAATAAAAGCTTTTGCCTCTTTTAATTTAGCACTATTGTGTTGTGACATTTTGAAAGAGTGAAAGGAGGCTACCATAATAGTGTGAGCTTGAGCCAACATAGCTGTCAAATAATTGGAATCGGGTGTCCCTAACCAAATGAGATGCGTTTGGATAGTACAGAGAAGGGCTTCATAGATAGGGGTCCTTCCCAGTGCTGTCTGGGGCTGGTTAAAAGGCCTGTGAAACGTAGTAAACTAAGTTAAGAAGACAAACTGAAGGATGTTGTACTGAGGGGCCTTTCAGGAATGGGAGAGATGGTTTGTTTGGCAGCACATATGCCAGTACTGATGGTGAAAATGTACATTGCAGAGGAAAAGGAGTAGCTTGCTGGACCTAGGCTGAGTATATTTACGAGCACTACAGCAGTGTACTTACTCTCTTTAGATAAAAAAAGAATTAGTTTAGGCATAATGAAGGAGACACCATGCAAACAACTTCAGAGAAAGAAGCAGTCTAAAGTGTGTGAGAAAGAAAAGAGTCAATAATAAAGATGTATTTTGTGAGACGCTTAAAGTGAAAGCTAGAGGGAGGACTAGACACCACACAGTATTCAGGAGAATACTAGGGAGTTTAATATTTTGACTGTATGTCTAGTGTTAAAGATCAATATTGTGTGTGATGACTTGATGGGGTGAATTTTGCATGTGTGAGGAATAGGAAGGCTGGAAGAAAGGATACCTTCTTCTCCAGAGGGGAACCAGTGCAAGATATGATCCCATAGGGGATAAAATGCTGTTATTACATTTCTTTATCAATAGTGTGACGTCACCTAAAAATCCCTATAATGTCATGTGATAAACCTACAGTACTATGCAGTTTTTGCACGGTCTACCATGTTTTTTTTTTCCTTACTACTACATATTTATTGTATCACAACATATTTATTGTTCCTGTTGTTATTATTTTTTATGTTTGTAATACACTGTCTACATTGTGTGATGTTAATAATAATATAATAAAAAACTTAATTTTATATAGCACCTTTAAAGGTGGCTTCTCAAAGTGCTTTACAGAACAACAACAATACAAAATAAAATAAAAATACAACACATGCATAATGAGAATACACAGTGAGAGGAGATAGTAGATGGGGGTATTGAACATAGTAAAAGCAGAAGAGTAAAGAACAGAACCAGTTAAGTAAAGACTCTTCTAAAGAAGGTTTGAGTCTAGATTTGAAGGAGCTTAGAGAAGGTGACTCTCTGATATCCTTAGTTCCAGAGCTTTGGGACATAAAAGGAGAAGGCCCAGTCACCCATAGAGTGTAGATGAGCTTGGGGGACAGATAGGGGACCAGAATTAGACGAGTGAAGGTTGTGAGATGGGGAATAGGTCAATAGTAGCTCAGACAGGTACTGAGGTGCCAAATCATGCAGAGCCTTATAGGTGAGCTTGAGGATTTTGAAGTCGGCATGAAACCTGACAGGAAACCAGTGCAAGGACTCCAAGATAGGAGTAATGTGATCACTTGCACTAGACCTGGTCAAGATTCTGGCTAACGAATTTTGGACATCCTGCAGTTTGTTCAATTTAGATACCCCAATGAGTAGGACATTACAGTAGTCAATTTGGGAGAACAAAAATCTGTTGATCAGCTTTTTAGCAACAGCTAGCCATAACATTCAATGTAGTCTGGCGATATTTCTGAGGTGAAAGAACAGTGTTGTGACAATATGTTGCAAATATGGGTTGAATGTCAAGCCAGAATCGAATATCATCCCCCCAGTTCTTCAAATTTGATCAAGTAAAGTACCATCCACAGAGTTACAGTCTTGGCTTTACAAAGTTGATGGTGGTGCCAATAAGCATGACTTCTGTCACAGTTTAGATTAAGGAAATTTTAAGTCATCCATGTTTTTATGTCAGTGATGCAATTAGAAAGAATAGAGACAGCCACATCAGTGTTAAGTTTGGTATGGGTAGAGATTTGAGTATCGTCAGTGATGGAGCCTGCTAATGGCTTTTACGTGCTGAACTGTAACCATCACACCTGCTTGATCACAGAGGCTTTCTCCCCCTGTACTTACCCCCAAATGGTGAATGTTTACCCAAATGGTAAATGTTTACACTAAAGTCCTGATGACAAAGGAAGGTTTCTATTTCCTTCGGTTACATCAAAGACAGGAGGGGGAGGAGGAGGGGGGGAGAAACGTGTATATATAAGTTCTGTAGGACCATATCCACTTTGAACTGCGATCGGTACTATAACTATTATGTCGTTATTGAAGTTCCTTGTATGCATGCAATAAAGCTGCATGCATACAAGGAACTTCAATAAACACCATAATTTATTGGCTGGACGAACTAACACTTCAGGCTCAAATTTCTTGGTTTCTACAGTCAGCATAGAAATGATAGTTGAGGTCATGTGATCTTAAAACCTGTCCAAGTGGAAACATGTAAATGTTGAAAAGTATGGGGCCCAGTATTGAGCCCTGAGGAACACCAGACATGAACAAGTCCAAGACCAAGTTCAGACCTAAATCCGCCAAGAGAGACAAGTGACACCGATCAGTGAGGTAAGACTTGAACCATTTGAGAGCAGTGTCGGAAACTCCATAACACAGTCTCAAGATGAAAAAGTAACATATCATGGTTAAGTGTCAAAAGCAGCACTGAGATCAAGAAGAATGAGGATAGAAAGAGAACCAGAGTCAGATGCTATTAGAAGATCAGTAGCGACTTTGACCAGAGCAGTTTTTGTGCTGTGAAGTTGTCAGAAGTTGTCGGAAGATTGAAGGAATTCAATAATGTGGTAGTGCAAGGTGGTTAGCAGATTGGATCAATGAGCTAGGGTGCCTAGCTCTCTTCCTCATGGAGCAGATCATTAAGAAAATTCAGCCAAGCTACGACATGTCTCTGGAAGCTGGGAGGAAACTACTGTTTCTGGAGTAACCCAAGTGAGCATACAGTATATGCAACCTCCACACATGAAAGGCACCCCAGCCCAAAATCTAGAGTTTTGAGACACAGGCTGCCAGCATACCACCTGCAGATATAGCTTTCGGTATGATTCCACATGACTTGTTTGCAGTGAAAAATATTTGTCTAGTTTAATAGATCTTTTTTAAAGGGTTTGATAAAATTATGAAAGTTTATCCCCATACACATGAGCTTAGTAATGCTCCTTATAAGCAAATAACACACAAATAAACCATGCAGAAGCATTGCATGCATTCAAGGAAAAGTTCACATTTATCTATGCACCATGGGTATACCTAATACATCTTACAGATAAAACGTACTGTAAAAATAACCTCTTAAAAAAGAATGTTATAAAATGAACATGAAGACAATACATTTACTATTATTGAGTGCAGTAATCTTCAAGAAGATGTGATAAGACTACAATACTGTAAATAAATAACTCATGTTGATGTGTTGATGCTGGTGAACATATGTTGAATTGAGCCTGAGAGACAGTCTGAGAAGCTTTTGAGAATGTTCTAGAAGCTTCAAAAACACCTCTCAAGCATAACCTGACACTGTAAGTACAGTATGTAAGACTATACATAGAGAAACAACAGAGGAGGAGAAAGGTGTGTATTTATTTAAGAATTTAAATTTTTAAAGCATTTTTGGTTAAATCATTTCTGTTTTTTCACTTTGTGGTTGATGTCCAGGACAGGAAGGACAGAATACATTTAGCTGTTGTGTCTCAGGCATAGAAATAGCAAGTCTTCAGCACAGTTCTTATATGAAGAGTTAATAAATTATTTTCATTGGTAGTTCTTAACATACACACTATATAGATCACTAGAATGTATTACTTTTTAGAATTTGTTGTCAAGACAAGTTCATTTTGCAAATATCAAACATATGCAAAATTTCAGTTTTCACCATAATTGTTACATTTTTTTATATTAAATTTTCCAGGCATTTTATAATGTAAAGAATATTGTGTATATATAATAAACAGATAAAAAATCTTGTTGTCATTCAGAGAAAAGAGAAAAACAAATATGGTATATTGTTCAGAAATCCAA